GGACAATCCGCAGCGGCAAACCAGCGAAATCAAAGGATCTCGACTCTTTTCTTTGCATCTGAAAGGCTCGGGGAGGCTCTTTTGACTTGTCAAGTCGCCAACCGCGGCCCCGCCCGTTCGCTTTGCGAACCTGGATGCCGCCATTTGAGTTAGAGCCCGCCACATAGATCGGTCCATTCTTAATTGTCACAAAGGGGCGAAGGGGCGAAGGGGCAAAAGGGGCGCAGAGGCGGCCTCTCAGGAGTGGGAGCATCTGACTCTTTGCATTTCCCAGAAAAACGCTTTGAGATCCATTCATTTATGGAAAACACACAGTTGGAAGAATGCTGAAGGAAAAAACAGAAACATAGATAACAAGTGGAGACCGGAGGGTGACTTAGATTTTGGTTGGTGCAGTTCTTGCAAATTCTGTCTGTACGCGCGAAAAGAACGGCAAAATGGGCGCTTGGCACACAATATTAACACATACCAAACATTCCCAAGCTATGGTTGCAGGCGATAACCGGTGTATCGCTACGCAGCCACAGTACGGCAACAACATGGCTGTATCCATCGAGTATCCGATGCACATTTACAGAGTGTATCCGGGAGTTAACTATACGGACGGGTTATGTGAGCCCATGTTTCTTTAAAATAAAGTTAATAATGGGGACTGAGATAGCAAGCCGGAGAAACACAACCATGTGGCTCCTCGATGATGATAAGAGAGCTCAGGTAGCATTTCCCCGGGCTACCATGTAGCCTCTGGAACCTCCAACCTCCAGGCTACAAGGCGCTGGGCGTCAAGCTAGATTCTGCAAAGAATCTTGAAGAGTCACCTTAGTGCATGATCAGGAGTCATTAGTCGGTAATTTTATGCACGTATCATACCCCCCTCGCCTGAACCGGTACCCTCAAACCTCCGGCCCAGCAAACTTACAACAAAGTAGCCCTGTGAATGGCTGTTAGGCCTGTTGTTTGCTTAGGTAATGAATCGCAGAACAACACACAAAAAAAAAAAAAAAAAAGAAACGTCAAAATAAAGCAGTTGAAAAAAAAAAAAAAAAAATTAAAAAAATTAAAATAAGTATGAAAAGTGATGAAAAATTAGGGGGGTCCAATCTGTCATTCTGTCACCAATCACATAAATTTATAATAAAAATCTAAAAAGCATGCTATACTCCGTCTTGCTTGTTTTTTCACGCTTGAAACACCACGCACACGGTATTGGGGGGGGGGGGGGGGCGCTCAATTGTATGGTACTTTGGGGTAACTATGTCAGGTCATTCCGCCGATGCGGCTTCTTCCCAGGGAGGCTTTGGGTGGCCTGACGGGTCGACCTACAAAAACCGAGAATTTTGACCGGGACCACCCCGGGACCCTTGAGGACCCGGGGGGGGGGGGGGAATTAAGTATTCGGGAGAACCCGGCGGCGTCGTCCTCCTCGCGTTGTTGTTTGTCCGTCTCTTTTGGCCCCCGCCCCTGGGGCCTTGCCCCTGGGAGCCTCCTTCTGTGGGCCCGTCCCCCATATTATTTATCCGCAATTAATCCTTGACCCCCCCCCCTCTCAAAATACTGAAAGGGTTTAAAAAATACCGCCGCTAAAAAAATTCCCTCCCCCCCCCGGGCTGAAAAATTAAAAAAAAAAAGCCGCCTTTTTGGGCCCGGAAACCTTGAAACCTGGGGACCTTTTTTTGCAAACCGCCAAAAACCTCTTTCTGAATAGGCTCTTGCCCACATTTCCTCTTTAAACCAAACCTCTGGGGCCGTTTTTTAACCCGTTTTGTTGGCCTGTCCCATTTCTCCCCGAACCAGGGGGCTTATTAGCCTCCTAACCCTTTCTTCCCCCCTTTGGGGGGCTTTGCCACCGAGGCCCGCCCCCCCACCAGGTGGACGCTTGGGAACTAATTACAGTTAGTTTCCACGCTGTATGTGCCATTAACTATTACTTACTTCTAACCGCTCCCCCTAACACCCCTACCCCCCTTCCCGTTCCCCTTTCACCAAACCTCCCATCCATCGCCCTAGCCCTTCCGTCGGGCCTTTTCCCACACTCCCCCAAAAGTCCACAAGATCCCTCCCCGGTCCATCATGGACCGGTCACTGGGCGATGGCTTTGCCACTGGATGCCATCAGACTACTGACTTGGGCTCTAGTTCTCCCCGTGTCTCTAGGCTAAGTCATCCGTCTTGCGAGTATTTCCAAATAGAAGTATTTGGGGCCAAGAGAAAACGCATATAGAGCGATTTGTGATAATCGAGTTCAACACTTCCTCCGCATCCAGAATAAATATTTGGAGGGAAATTATAATACAACTCACCCTTCCATTACTTCCACTGTACCTCGTGCAGTCCATAGAGTCATTGCCTGTTGCAGGGGGGGGTTTAACAATATCATTGGCTTGTCGCGGTACAAGCCATTTATTACGGGAAGAAAAAAAAAAATAAGATACCCACGTTTGGTGTTGCGGTTTCGTGGCCTGGTTGGCTTGATATTTGGCGAATCCGTCTGACTGGAGTGGGTCCCCCTTTCTTTTTTGACTTTGAGAGAATTGGATTTCTTCAGTTTATCCTCTTTTATACATATAAATATTTTCTTTTTTCTTTTATGTTTTTACTTTATGGCTTCTTTTGTGTTTTGGTATCGGTGACAAGCGGCCAGGCCTGCTGGGCCCCAAGAGGCATCCCTGTCATTTTTATTATTTACTCGTACTGACGTTGACCTGAGCAGGGAGGCGTACCAGCATCCCCCCTCTCTTCCTTCTTGCTTGGCGCCAGCTCCCAACTCGACCTATCAAACCCCTGAAATCCTGGAGCACAAGGGTTGTGGGAATTAAGACACCAGGGGTTTGGGAAATCGAGGAAATCACAAGGATTTGGGAAGAAGAGAAGGGAATAAGAAGGAAATTGGAAATCTCAGCTGGACGTGGGCTACGGAGGGTAACAGGTACTCTGTTTCCCGCAACGTACACAAATCTGGCTCTTTTGGCTGTTGGAAGGAGTTCTTTTGCACGCCAACAGCTGGAGCTGTTGGAGAAAAGAGAGTAGACCGAAGAAGAAGCGGGAAGAAGAAACAGAAACACTTCACCGCACAGAAGTGGCCGTGGACAAAAAACGACAATCCAGCGGGAATAATAATCATAATACATGCTTTATGACTGATCAGTGACATTCGTCTCCGGTCCGGTACCCACTCCGATGTAAAAAAACCCCCAAAGCTCCACAACTCAAGCCAGTTCCCACCACCTTTCGAATTAGCAATCAAAAATACGCCCCGAGTTGGGTGGTAATCCCGATACCACTGCACAGTACAGAGCACATCCTTTCCTGATTATTGCTCTGCATTAATTGCTTACCCACCTCTTGCGACTTTCTACCTTTTTTATTTTTTTTTTTTTCTTTTCTCTTTTTTTCTTTTTTTCTTATTTGCTTGTTTTTTCTACTTGAATCCTGCGGAAATTTTCCAATACTTGACTCCGCCCAACTGGTCGGGTATTTTCAGTCATCTCCAGCATCAGGTCACATTGTCTGTCCCGCTTGATTTCTCTTGAAGCAGTTTTCTCCACTGCTGCCCAGTTCTTGGTCCGAGATCAAAACCGACGGCTTTGCCACGATCGAACCATCGTCTCACACTATTTCGACTATTTCAACGACTTCTCCCCGTCAAACTGGGAACAACTCAGGCTTCTAAGTCAAGCTAGCCTCCATCCCCATCTCTCCAATCAACCAACTCCCACCATTTCCCATCTCCGCTACCCGACCGCTACCAGCAAACATCTCCCACGAGCCATAATAATACTGGTCTAAAGCCACTACCATTGCCGAACTCCCTTGTCCCATTGCAAGCGAGCAACCTCATAGCCCTTCTTCTTTCCCCCCCTCCCTCCCCGCGATTTTGTGCTCGATACCGCGCTTATTTACTCCCGGCATCCCTATTGAACCACAGTTGCTGCCACCTGGTACTTTAGAGGCTTTCTTGTTTGCTTATTATTGTACCTCACACCATCGTCCTTCCTCTGCGTTCTACGAAGCCTGTCGCCCTTACTTTAAAATATCTGTTGCGTGGGCAAGGTTAGAGCTTCGAGTCCTGGCTAGGGTGATTAAACACCCGCACAAAACGACCATTTGCCAGACAACATCCATAACACTCTCTCACTCACTTCCCCCTTCACCACGTCATTAATCATTTATTACTTTCCAACCACGCTGCTATTATCATTCCTCTCTATTCTCTAGCTCCCTGTCCGGTTTCTTAGTGGTTGATCGAGTGCACTCCTAGGGCCAGAGCGCCAAACACAATCTGGCAATCGCTGGTTGTTCCACTTGTATTGGGCTGTTTTGAACCTCAGGAACGTTTCGTCCCACCCAACGCACTTCCACCAGCTCGTTTCCCTGCCACCCCTCCTAACCTTCTTCCGTCAACCAACTAATAAACGCGAATTTTCTGTCGTGGCCAGACACACCTTGCTGGCGCTCACTAACACGTAACGTGCAGAAGTTCGTTATTTGTTCTTGTGAGGGGACCTTTCTTTCCTTCAGTTGCGCCAAGCGAGACATCATCCCCAAGTTGCACATACCCGGTCGCAGATAGACTACGGTTTTGTTTATCTGTAGGGAGGAAATATAAAGGGTCTTTTCCATTTTCAGACGCGAGAAGTCATTATATGGACAGGCCGGCCTCTGATTACGCCTAGCCAGGTTTGAAATCTCCGAATCCAAATTTGGCGGAGCCATATTCTGAACGAGCGGCTGCAGAAGAGACTGCTACTGCTGCGTTCGGTCAGCACAATTCACAGACCAACTACCCAGGACACCGCGCAAGCGGAAGCTCAATCCTCCAACATTTCGTCCTCCAATACCCCCCAGCCGGACTACGGTCTGAGCCCACCGGGGCCTACTCCTCCCCCCCAACCTCAAGCTCCTCCTCCAGCAGCCCGCCCAGCTCCCGCTCCCTATCCCGAATACCTGACACGTCAGCCACAGTACCACCACGCGCCTCACTCGCAGTCCGGCGCGCCAGGTATGGCTCAAGCAACAAGTCCGTCCATGCCCTTAAACGATGGGCAGCAGAGTGGCCATCGCAGTCCATCGAATTTGAAATCTGACACCGCCGTTCCTATAGATCCCTCAATCGCGGCATCAAGCCCCTCATACCCTCCTCCGTACTCCCCGTATACTCCCCAGGGCCACGATATGGCTCAGTATCAGGGACACCCCCCTCCACAGATGTATGGTCGACCAGATTGGCCGCCACATCAGTATGGACAGCATCCGCATGGGATGCCAGGGGCTTATAGTTCCCCTGGAACAACGGTGGGTTCTGCGTCTCCAGCTGCGACCGCAGGGCCTCGTCCAGGACAGGTACGTTTATCAATTTACGCGTTTTTCTTTTTTTTGTTTTCCCTTCTCTGCAGTCTGCATGATCTTGACTGTATCCCGGGAGCCACGTGAGAAATCCTTTCCCGTTGGCATCAAAGATCAAAGCATCATCTGATTTTCATTTTATCTACACAGACTCATTCTCTTTCCCAGGTATATTCCTTCGTCCCAATCCCCGGTGCCCAGCAGCACAAGCGCCCCCGCCGTCGATACGAAGAGATCGAACGAATGTACAAATGTGGTTGGAATGGATGTGAGAAGGCATACGGTACATTGAATCACCTCAATGCACATGTCACCATGCAATCACATGGTGCAAAGAGAACTCCTGAAGGTTTGTCAGACTCTTCCTACATATACCTACAATAAACACGTTTATCATGTTTTTTGCCACCACTTTATTTTTGTTTATTGGGATTGTGGTCATGGTCGCAAAATGCTTCAAGTGGGTAGCCCTGCCCTTGCATCAAACTAGTCGCGTTACACTGCGCTGGTGCTGGAAACCACACGTGGGGATGCAGTAGCGTGCGACGGCCCAGTGAGCTAAACAATACCCGACGCCAAGATGCCGCTACCCACAAATATGCCATCCATAAACATCCACGCTATGCCTCTCCCGTCTGGCTTGTTCGTTTCTCTGTCCTATTGTATCTTGGCTAACATCATCGCCTTTTGATTGCGTTTCAAAACACCTAGAATTCAAAGAAATCCGAAAGGAATGGAAGGCCCGTAAGAAGGAAGAAGAGAACCAACGCAAGGCTGCTGAGGAGAGAGAGCGTGCTGCCGCACAGGCTAATCAAGTTGATGGAAACCCCCCAACTGATCCTTCACAATCGGCACAGCCAGCTTCATATCCTGCTGGCGTTCGCCCACAGCTACCTCCCATTGGATATCAACCAGCAGACGGTCAGGTTCCTGGCCAGTACGGTGCGTCTGCTGGGCAGGGACTTGTATATCCCCCAAGTAATGGCCAGATGACCGCGCAATACCCTCCTGCCAACTATCCCCATTCTCCATATGGCCAAGGGAACCAGGTATATCAACCGCGTGAGTGATAATTCACACGTCCCTGTCTCTCTTCTTTTTCTTCAATCTCTGTCTTAGCTCCAACCGAAGTAGAAGAAGAACAGTAACAGAAGACCCAAAAAGAATTGAAGAGAGAGAAGTTCAATGGCAAACGACGCTGTCTATGCATGTGGAAATTTTATTGTATAATTTTGTTTTTCTGTTGTTGTATCACAGTGTGGTACTGACGGCTGATACTAGCCCCAGAGAATCAATCCAGCAACTACCAATAAGGCTTGATTTGATGGGGAGGAAGACAGTGAAGGAAAAAAGAAAAGGAAAATCTGGACATGAGCGGTTTTTTTATTGAAAAATCTCCTGTTGCGATCATGCTTTGCTTTTCTACACACCATACCTCTTCAGAGCTTCTCATTCATACATCTCTTGAGGAGCTTCTCTCTGTCTTCTTTTTTCTACCTTCATAGTTTCAATTTTCGTTTTTATGTGCTTCTTTTCTTTCCTTCTTTTCTTTGCTAACTTTTTATAACCTCCTACGATTCCCCAGTGTCCTATTCCTTATTCAAAAATTTTTTTCATTCAAAGTTGTCGCTTTTTGTTGTTCCACACTTTTCTATACGTTACCCATCATTTCATTGCTCATTGCTGTTCATCATGCTTGCTTGCTACCTTTCTCCCTGTAGTTTCCATGTTTAGTTGCTTTTCCTCTCTCACCCCAACCCCTTCATCATTTCTCTACCGGTTTTTACCAACGAGAAACTTGTGTGCGTATGCTTCTCTGTTGTCTTTGTTGTGTATGGAAATGTCAAATCTCTTATGTCCGTTCCAACCCTCTGTCTTCTTTCTTTTCACGGCGTTGATTCTTTTCCAATCATGTTTTCTCCATCGGTGTCATGTGAGTCATGACGTCTTTGCCTTTTTATTCCGCCTTTGGGTATATAATAGAGAAGGAGAAATCGGAAATGAGAAGCAGATGATATGATCTAGGCCGCAATGAGAGGAAGAAGGCTAAACCAGGGGGATGAGGATTTCCGCGTTCTCTGGTATGGGATTTTTTCCCCCCCCTCTTCGGAGGGACAAAAGGAAAGAAATGAGGAATGGTCTAACTGGACTGGATATGGATATGGATCATGTGTCTCCTATTTTCCTTTCTTTTTCCTTGCAAATTGGATGACTGGGGGTTAGGCATGGGCGCGATATGTGGGGTGTTGCATTTTCAAGTGTAGTGTGGCTCTGTCTTACTATGTTCCTGTTAAAATTTCCTGTCTTCTTAAAATTGACCCAAATGTATTTCTCTTTATATTTCTTCTCTTTCTTCCATTCATGCCTCTTCCCAACCTTATTGTTTATGAATGTCAATTTCCACTCACACTATTTAGTGTTTCATGATTCTCCTTTGCTTTCTTCGATGCATGAACCGGTGCTCGAACCCTTAGCCCTTATTATAAAGTTCTTTAAAACAAAAGCCTCTATTCCCCATTCAACACTCGCCTACTGTATGCGAACTCTCTTTATTGCCATCCCAACATGGTTATCTTCTGTACCTTCTCTATTCTTAAATTCAGCTGATGGATATGTCCCAACGGCTTTGCTTTTGCTTCTCAGGTCAAAATTAATGGAGGTGTGGGTTTGCATGCTTGGAAATTTTCAGCCAGTCTCAGTCTTACGTATAATCAGAATACTAACAATAATTCCATAAATTCTGCCGAATCTCTGTTTGATGATGGGAAATTTGTTCCCCTGTGAGCAATCATGGATATCTGTCCATTAGGTATCTATGAGACTGGCCTCAGTATCATTATTGACACACTGCTCATAGGCCAGTGGCCCATTTGATAGAGAAATGCGATCCCACCAGAAGCTTTGGAATCGTTACTGGGTTGCAAACCTATTTATTCTGCGGATTTTCCCTGACCTGAATCTCCCTGGAATTTCGTGATTACCTAAGCAGGATGCCCCTGAGGTCAAACTCCGGCTTTTGACCATAATTTCGTTATTTCTCACGATGTGATCAATCTGAATCCAAATAACATACGTGCATGCTTAGAACCAATCAGAGTCTGGGAGACACGTAAATCACGTTCCTGATCTTCTTGTTGCCCTCTAGGGCCCGTCAGACAAGAGGTACTTTTCAGGCTTCTTCTCATAATGACGTCGCTCAGGTTTACCCTGCTTCCAGAGGCTCTGCTGCATTTTCACGATGTACTTATATGCCTTGCAAAATTTAACGAGAGCGTTTCAATTGAAGCAGAGGAATCTTTTGTATAGTTTTACCCTTTTCTTCCTTTCTTTCCTCTTCCCGATCTGTTAGTGGAGGGCTGAAGTATTGTTTTTTGCTGACCATGGAGCGGACAATGACAGCTGCGCTTCTCGGCACTGAATTTGACTAAATCAGCATATGCGTCTTTCAAATTTGATGCTTCCTCTTTTTTCTTTCAGTATATATTTGTTAGCCCGAGACGCAATGCGTCTGGGTCCACAGCAAGGAATACTGTCGATAAGTTAACGTGTCAAATATACATCAAGGTGTGTTGACTAGGGCTGTTGAGCTCTCAGATACAATACAACATTCCAACATTCACGCCCATTCGTTAATGATGCTGTCTAGGCACTTCTGTCAGTTTTCAGGGGGCGTGTCAGTGATTTCAAAGATAGAGAAACCGCCATTGAGCGTTGCGAAGTTCAGTTCCAAGACAGCCCAGACGAAACAGAATGCAGGTTTATCATCCGGATGATATGTAGGCATGGTATGGTGCAACTACTTCCTCGCTGGTTCTATTATTATCTCACAGACTAACTTGCCTGGATTAGGGGTCGTCAAGACTTATAAATTAACCTACGAAACTGTAGAGGTTCAACACGCTTTATTCGACAAGTCAAAGACTGAAAACCAATGGGCCATAGATTCGAAGTATCTGCGAGAAATTATCGAACACTTCGGTCCTAGTGCTGAACTGCTGGATATTTTCTCTGAGAATAATAGAGCGGTGTTCACGAGTTTTACGACAAAAGTTGCTGATGGGAAAGGTATGATGATGGAATGATATATGACTGAAACTTAAATTTAGTGGCTAATATCCTGATCTTTGCCTGCAGAAATCCTCAAGCAACCTGTTCATACATCAGTGGCCATCGACATAAAAGATTTTGACCATTTCACGGTGGAAGATAAACTTCACGTAGCTATCAACGTGAAGGATTTCAAGGCCATTGTCATCCACGCACATTCCCTAGGTGAAAGTACTGTGGCACGATATACTCGTCCATGCCGACCAATGCAGATATCGTACGAGGCGAACGGAATGATGTGTGAATTCACGTTGATGACAAGAGGTGAGTCTGAAGAGGCAATCTCCGGATCTACAAACGGAAACCGGGAGTTATCAGCAAGGCCTCATTCCCGACGCGCAACTGTCCCTTCGAGGGAGTCCGCACCAAACCCTCCACCTGAAATTCCAGAATCTATTCCCAAATATCACTCTCTCCAGCAGCCCTCTCAAGAGGCAGTCCAACAGGAAGGACAGGTGAATGCACCGCCAAACTCTACAATTCCATTTGAATCATTGTTTGTTCCGGCGGATGATGACCAACAATGGGACGAGCCCAGGTACGGGGACGAGGACGAAGACACCCTTGGCTGGGACGCAAATATGGATCAGGTATGTTCGGCAACAATCTTCGTTTTATAGCGGCACATCTTAAAGAGGTTTGTAGAACACATTCCAGGAGAGCATTGGAGGACGAATCCAGGACATCACGCCAACTGGAGCCAATATGAGGCATCAGAATGATCAGGATCAAAGAGACTCCATAGCAATTCCTCCCACACAAAGGATATCTCAAGTATGTAGGCCATTTTTTCCCCTTGTCGTCATGGTACTGACCGTAGCGCAGGTACGAGGGCTATTTGATTAATATGACGGTTCGATAATGAGGCTGTAAATGTCTTGTACAACGTTTAATCGCGTTCACCCCATGTCGAGTTGTGGCCAACCGCACATGCAGACCTTTGAGGAATGGGTTTCAAGTCCTATGTGGGATGACCCTTTTTTGTGTTAACCTCTTAACCCCTGGTTTTCGTATTTAGGCTGTCATAATCCAACTTGTAGCACAGCCTGCACCAACGTTTGTGACCGCACCCCGTCCCTCAATAGTTAGGGGAATCTCGCTCCATCGTCCAGCCACATTCCCCTGTGCATCTGTGTTTGGTCCACAGTTACCATGCTCGCCCCATCCGAAAGCCACCACATTTGTGCTCTCGATTATGGCAACGGCGTGTTCACTGCCTACAGCCAGCTTCGTTGGCTGTGGGAGGTGTGATGGAAGTAACTGGCCGCGATCATTTCTCCCCCACGATATGGCAGAACCATCCAGTCTATGGACATATATACCATGCCAACTAGCTGCCACCATTTCGTAGTTCTTAATGTCTTTCGGAACGTCAGACCTGATATCCCACTTATTCGATCCTAAAATGGCAAACTCCCCCGTCACTGCCTCCCCACCAATAACCGTAAATTCTCTTCCACACGCAATCTGACAAGCAAAAAATGCAACCTCTTCGATCTTTCTTGGCTCCCATAAAATCTTGTTCTGTATATTCCGTTCTCCCAATTGACCTTTTCTCGATATCCCCCATCCGTACACCTCCCCAGTCGACAGTGTGACTACTGAATGAGAGACACTGCTAGAGATAGAAATAATTTCCTTTCTAGCTGGTGGAAAATTTAAAATCCGCATTGGCCTACTCGCCTCCATGCAGGTTTCCCCTAACCCCAACTCTCCCTTCATTCCCAATCCGCAAACATAGAGATGGCCTTGCTCTGCATCAACAAAAAAGGACGCTTCCCACGTTGCCGAAATGACCTTGAATCGATCAACCCGTCTTCCCTCTTCTGTAACAATAACCACTCTTCTAAATCGTAATAAAGAAAGCACTGTATCTGGGTCGTGGGCGCATCTGCCGTTTTTATTGGATCCAGCAGCGTATACAGCTCCAGACTTAAAAAGGACTAAAGTGTGGTTCCCACCCGCAACAATACGTAGGGGTTTATCCTGAGAATGAGGATTATTGGATTCCAATTCCAAATTACTTGGCCCATCTCCCTGTGTGAATAGACACTTCGTAGGTATTGGAACATCGTCCATGTGCCCGATGCCTAACTGGCCCGACCCGTTGGACCCAAAGGCATAAAGGGGCATTTGGAATTCCTGATATCAGTTTTTTGAAGGGGGTAAGGAGTTGGAAGGTTGTGATGAATACCACGAATGGGAGGTTTTCATGCACGCTCTCGAACTGTCCATACTATTTTTTCACAGATAATAGTCCATATCGTAGGTACGTGTCCTGGTGGTATATACACTGCTTAGCATCCCGTAGTAGTTGTTGACTCGTCAGCGAAGGTTCAACGGAACTTTGTTAATCCGGCTTATCGAAGAATGCCAAAAAAAATTAGTTTAAACGGAGTTCCCATGAGTTGTTGAAAACTCCACCTCCACCAGGTGAACAGGAATTGGCCATTTAGCTTCTGGGATACCCTATTTTCTCATCTGGAGAATTTGTTGTCGGGTGGTTTTAATAAAAGAAGCCCGAAATTCGGTTAGTTGTCCACTCTCGAGGTTCAAATTTACCCTGCGAATACTGCGCACACTTCGAATTGCGAACGGAGCTCTCTAACAAATTGGTTTCTTTAGTGCCATTTGCTGATCGCTTGGATATAACATTATTCTATTACGGAACCCCAAAAAGCCTCCTTGTTTTCCTTTCGGGTATACAGACCAGATAAACAGCGTGATTGATTAAATGCTCCGCTGCAGAAATGTCTTCGCCAGTGGCACTCTTGCTACGAGACTGGTTTGCGATGGGAGCTCGATAATATCTGGCAATTTAAGGGGAGGATTGCTGGCAAACCACATTACTCGTAATGGAGCTGATTACAGAAATATTTCGACATCGAGGTTCGGCAAGCGTTCATCAGATGCTCGCCAAGGAAGATCTAGATCAAAATCGAATTCACCCACTAGTAAATCATCATGGAAGAATACCAGTAATAACAAAACGAAATCCGGTGGCGGAACAAAAGACGAGGAGCTTGTGGCGGCAGATTTCGTTAGGCACTCAAGAGCAGGCGCTGGCAGGAAGTCAAAGCCCGGTTCGGTTTGGAAACAGAAAATTACTGGGAGATCTACGGTGTCGAGGAAGGCAATCGACATAGAACTTCAGTGGGCAAAGGATCGTCTTATTTTGGCAAAGCGAGTGAAACGGATGCTTAGCAAGGGAGATTTGGAGAAAGCACTTGCATTGGTGAGAACTGCGCAATCGAGGAGATACGATTGTATGGGTGCTTGGAACATGCTCTTTGACTACGAGATGAAGAATGACAGACCCGTTGCGGCGTTTAAACTTTATAACGATGTGAGGCTTGCTCTAACTGCATTTCCTTTTCCCAAATGAATACCTCAAAGCTAATACTGGGCCAGATGAAAAAAAGAGGGCCCAAGCCTAACACATACACGTACACAATTATGTTTCGAGGATTAGCGAATAGTAGTTCCAAAAAGGCAGTAAAAATAGCGCTTTCGATATACAATAGCTTGCGCTCACCTCGTTCCGGAGTTAAACCATCTATCCACCATATCAACGCGGCTTTGGGTGTGTGTGCTCGACATGGAAATATGGATGCCCTTTGGGAGGTGGCCGGATCGCTTCCCGAACATGGTGAAGATGCTCCTGACGCCAGGACATTCACCATTATACTCAATGGTCTTCAGGCCCGGGTTGCCAGTGAAATTAAACACCTTGATCCCCGTAGTCAAGAAGACGGAATTACAGAGAAAAAGACGGCATTAGTACGAGAAGGAAAGAGAATATGGGCTAATATTATGAGTCGATGGAAAAAGGGAGAGTTGCTCTTAGATCAAAATCTCGTGTCAGCCATGGGGCATTTGCTTCTTTTTGGTCAACAAAGACGCGACTGCCTTGATGTGTTCGCCCTATTGCATCAAGCGATGCGCGTTCCATTGCTTGAAGATCTAGAGACACAGCTAGAAGAAAGCAGAAAAAAAGAGCAAAAGAAATTCGCAAATCAAGATACCCCAGAAATGGTGCAAGCCCAGGACGAATCTTCTACTGAAATCCAGGGAATGGAGAAGAGATCGACAGATAATGATGAAACGGACCATACCTCGGAAGGGAACTCCAAACAATTATCTGAAGAACCAGGACCAGTACACGAAGCACCAGGACTACCGGCCGAAGAACCGGAACCGCCGTCTGAAGTTGAAGAATTTAAAAACTTGTTTAATCCTCTCCCCATTGTGCATCTGAGCAAAAGAGACCGGCGATTCAGAAAATCCCGCCGTGCCAAAATGGCCCTCCCTCGACCTGTAAATGCTCAACTGTCGTTGATTTTAGCAGCTTCCCGGACAATACCAAACGGCGTTGCCATCGGCCGAGCGTATTGGGAGGAATACGTTTCTAGGAAGATAAACCCTGATGAACATTCCTTCCACGAGTATCTGCGACTTCTCCGCATAGCTCGATCCAGCAGTGAATCTTTTCAAGTTATTAGGAAGCAAATGTTACCCAGAAAGGTGGTTTCTCGCAAAACCTTCGTCATCGCATTAAGCTGCTGTTCTCGCGATCGAAAGAATCCGCATGTATTCGAGACGGCCAGCAAGTTGGTCGGGTTTATGGATACCACTCTATCGCAACCGGAACCTGAAATTTTGTCGAGGTACCTGGATCTTATTAGGTATGGTATTTCAGAGGAGAGCGTTAAGGAATCCATTTCTATCTTGGCAGGCAAGGAGGACACGAAATCTGCCGATACATTGTTCAAGAAGAGGATAACGGACGCAATTGCTACTCTGCGTCCGCATGTAGACAAAATCATCTCGCTGCTCGCCTATAACAGTCTTTCTCGACATGGAAATGAAGTGGATGAGCCAGCTAGAGTCAAGGCTGCATCAGAGAGGGTTGCTCGGGGCTCATGGCCACACTCTCTCCGCGACCTACCCTCCTTCGAGGAATCTGTTTATTTGTTGAAACAGTACAAACAGCTGCATGATATGCTTCTTAAAGAAAGGACGCTCAGCGCTGAAGAGCGCACAGTGTTTGAAACTGAGAACAAACGGCTGAAGAAAATTCTCAGTCGAGGACCGGTAGGATGAAGAAGTCGCTGGAGATGGGGTGCCTTGAATAATCCACTATGTTCGCTTGACAGTTGGTCGTTCACTCCAAATTTTCAATTTTCCAGTCGGGTGATCTCACTCGCGTCTCATCCAACGTCGTCGGGGTATCCGGTGAGCTCTTCTTTCGCAAGTGATACGTCTTGTTCTTTTATTGGCCTACTGCTATTTAAGTGCGCTATGTATCTGTACTTTTAGGCCGAACGCCTTTTTTTGGATTATTTTCCCTGTTATTGCAGCGCAGGGTGCACGTTCATATGTTCTAGAGCTTGGCATTCATCATACGTCCCTGCATGGTTTTATTGATGAGACCCAGCTAATGTTGTTTCGTGGATATGTTATGTACGATACGACTGTTCTTACTATCTGGTGCATGTTGTTTTTGAACTAAAGATATTAGCGTTTTCCCCGTTCATAGACCGACCCCATGGATTGACTAATAGTTCACACCGCTTTTCATTACAACCCTCTGCGCCATACATTTTATTCTGTATCACGAGAGAGCAGGGAGATCTGAAATGCCGTTGAATGGGCAGATGTGCTCTGCAGACCGAAGGGACACAGAGTTGTGATAGTTTGCGATTCGACCTGGAAAGTGGCAGTAATGCTACTTGGGTGTGTTCCAATGGCACAGTTTCTCTTCCTCTTATATACTATGGTTCTCGAGTGGCCCAGCGTTGTGCGGCATTACACACAATGTCAAGTCACTTGGCCCCACTTATTAATGGCAAATCTGTGCATCGCTGCATACGTTGACCCGTGGTGACGTTTGTTAAGAGTGAGGTGCGCGTCCACCTGTGTTGGCCATGAACATCGACTCGCAAATATGATCGTAAACGAATTGACGTATGAAGAATTGGGGATTCTAAGAGCTTGGTTGTGTGAAAACCCAATTGAGGAGTTAGGGCCTTTCAGAAGAAGGGGAACGTCTACACCCAATGATATGACGACGTGGAGCGGATTATCTTGGTAACCAAATTCCATATACGCTTATTGTTGCACATATATATTAAAATTTTGCGAAGCATGACTTCACCAGTGATAACTGTCGATCAATGCAGCCTTCTTCATGCTCGCGAATGTTTAAAGGCGCTGTTAGCACGAAAGGAAGAGCAAGAAAATGTCGTGAATTGCTGCTGGATCCTATTGTGCGCCGGATTGGGGAATGCGCATGGTCTAGACCATGGTGGTGGATATATCCCCCCTCAGATAAACACCAGGTGGTATCATCTTATCCATATAATTGACTTGACCCTTTTGATGTTGGAAATGCAAAGAACAGTGAAATGCATATCCGTTAAGGAACTAGATAAGCACCGGTTTGAATCTGAAGATATTGATTTGCCGCCCCACTCTCGAAGTGTTTCAGATTATAATAAGATGAAAACGGCAACATTTTCCCGAGGTCACCGTCCTTCTTCAATTCAGAAAAGAAAAGAAGAAAAAAAGAAAACAAAGAAAGTAAGAAAGAAAAAGGAAAAGGAAAACCGTAAAAATTGCAGGGTTTGGATAAGCTGTAAGGGCTCTCTCTGTTATGGAGAAACAACAGGCTTGGGGTATGCAATGTATATTGGGCAGCAGTTGGGCTCGCTGTGACTGCACCTTGAAGCGAAGGGGCGGTCAAGCGGTTTTCCCATATCTTGGACGAAAAGCAAGGCAATGATGAAATTTTATTGACATTCCACCAAGGGCTCCAAGGTTTGGCGCTGAACGTCGAAAAATAGTTGTTGGTTGGAAAGCATGTTTCAGATTGGCCAATTATCTATCTGTCCTCTTCTTTCGGGATTGTTCATTCTCGCCTTTCTCGCTTCGACCAATGGTCATTCCAAAAGCTTGAAAATCGCGGTAGCATCATCTTTTCCTGTTGGCTGAGCTGTGGTCGCTTAACGCCCCAACCACCAAGCTCGAGGAGGACCTTAGGGTTTACCGTGGTTTGTTATCTGAAAACAAGGGGTTAAGGAAGATCTGACACGGCTTCGGGAGGCACTCCGCGCTACCCACACCCCTCCCCCAATGGGGTAACTCGAAACCATGCCGCATGCAAGGCCAAAAAAAAGGGGGATGGATCGAGGCGAGGCGGTCACCAATCTTCACATCTTGGTCCTGGATCGAGGCTCTGAGCTGGGCTCTTGCAGGTGTATCGTAGCAGAAGAATGCAATTATTCATCGAAGACGAGGGGTTGACTTGACTGTATGTAGATTGCGTCTCATAACCACAGCCGTCACCAGCTGACTAGCTAGCTTAACTAATCACCAACGAACTAGTTAGTTAACTAGCTTAACTAATCACCAACCAACTAATTAAGTTAACTACTTACTTAACTAATCACCCGCTAATCACTAATCAACCAATCACCCGGTAGCTGCTTCCCGCCATGCCTGATTAGACCCGGGCCGGATGAGTCAGCGCCGCCAAGCCCACCGCCGAATCCGGGCAAAGCAAAGCCAATGACGTCGTCGTTGTGCACGCACAATGCCCGCTGGGTACTTGCCGGATACCCCGCTTATGCACACGTCAACTGGTTGGTTGGTTGGTGTGTAGCTAGCTGACTTATCTCCCGCATTCCCCCCCCCTGCTGCTTGTTCTCTTGAACGGGCTGGCGGTTGTTCCAATCAACTGCAGCTGCTGGTTCGACAAGCGTGCTTGCCAGGTTGCTTAGTTTCCGCTAGAGACGGGCGCTTGGCTCGTTGATTGCTGCGCTTTTTTTGGTTTTGCTCCCCCATTCTGACTCTCTCTCTGACTCTCTCTCTGTCTTTGTTGTTGTTGTTGTTGTTGTTGTTGTTGTTGTTGTTGTTGTTGTTGTTGTCAGCCCCTGTTGTGTTGTGGAGTTTATAAAGAAGGCGGGAAGCTGGCCATAAGAAATAATCAACCCACAATAACCCCCTTTTTTTTTCCCTTTTTAATATAACCCCCCCCCCCCCCCCCCCCCCCCCCGCCCTCTCTCTACCCCCATCTTAATTTATTTATTTATTTATTTTTTTTTATTTCACTTCCTGCGTTAAGCTGCCGTTCTTGTAGCACTTCGTCCCGCAAATATAGAATCGTTGATTGACTTGCCCCGCCCCTCAGCACGACCCAACACAAACCCCCCACCATGGGAAAAAAGGCAGTGCACTTTGGAGGTGGCAACATTGGCCGTGGATTCGTTGGGGAGTTCCTCCATGAGTCTGGCTATGAAGTCGTCTTTGTCGATGTTATGGACAGCGTCATAGATGCTCTCCAGAAAGCCTCATCATACACGGTCACGGAAATCAGTGGAGAAGGCGAACACAAGAAAGTCATCGAGAATTATCGGGCCATCAACTCCAAACACAATCTCGACGACGTCATCAAGGAGATATCCACTGCCGATGTCGTCACTTGTGCTGTTGGCCCTAACATTCTGAAGTTCATCGCCCCACCCATCGCCAAGGGTATCGATATTCGAACCCAGCCCAAGCCACTGGCTGTGATTGCCTGCGAAAACGCAATCGGTGCCACCGACACTCTACATGGCTTCATCAAGGACAACACTGACGAATCCCGTCGTGACTCTCTCCCCAGCCGTGCCCAGTTCGCCAACTCCGCTATCGACCGCATTGTGCCCACCCAGGACCCCAATTCCGGTCTTGACGTCAAAATCGAAAAGTTTTACGAGTGGGTCGTGGAAAAGACTCCCTTTGGCGACGTCGGGCACCCGGATATCAAGGCTATCCACTGGGTGGACAATCTGGAACCTTACATTGAGCGCAAGCTGTTCACCGTCAACACCGGCCATGCAACCGCTGCCTACTTCGGCTATAATGCTGGCAAACCGACAATCCACGATGCGTTGAAGGACGAGAGAATCCGGAGCCAAGTCAACGCGGTCCTGGCAGAGACCTCAGCCCTGATCGTCGAGAAGCACCACATCCCGGCCGAAGAACAACACGATTACGTCCAGAAGATCATCACCCGCATCTCTAACCCGTATCTCGAAGACGTCGTGCAGCGTGTTGGACGTGCTCCGCTCCGCAAGCTGTCTCGCAAGGAACGCTTCATCGGACCAGCTGCCCAGCTCGCTGAGCGTGGACAACAGGTCGACGCGTTGATGGGAGCGGTCGAGGAGGCGTTGAAGTTCCAGAACGTGCCTGATGACGAGGAGAGTTTCGAGCTGCACAAGATCCTGAAGGAGCTGTCCGCCGCAGACGCAACGACCAAACTGACAGACCTGGAGCCAGATCACCCGCTGTACCCGCGCGTTCTCGAGAAAGTGACCAAGGTCCAAAGCGAAACGAAGTAGAAGAAGATTCGTGACGGGGGAGTTTTTTTACTCGTTCATATGACGCCTTATGTCCCGCTTACCACGATTGATTTCCCGCTTTGGTGAACTGATTTGCGCGATCAACGACAAGGTTGCCAAGAGGGCCCTCTTATGGCAGCTACAGTGTCAGGGCTAACTAGGAATTAGTAAGGGTGGTATTTATTCTTTTCTTTTCTCCTCGGGTAAAACGCAAGCAGGGACAGGTGCACGGAGCGACATGTGTTTTTCTTCTTTTCTCCTTTTTTTCTGCCTCTTGTTCTTATTACCAGAGCTACAACACGAGGCTCCTATAGAAAACAGCGCATTAGATGGAATGGTTCTATCTTCCCAAATTTGCCCATTTTCCCTCTTTTCCTTGGGAGTTGCAACTGCCAATGGAAGCGCGATTCAACCTATCTACGTAGCAGAAGATAGCTATTCTGGTTAAGTAATTCCTAAACGGATGTACATGACGACCTCCTCCCGAGTAATGGAACTAACCATGCATGGAAGGTCGCAACAATAGTCAAAATAATAAGCAAGGGAGGGACACTTCATAAAAGGGAAAGGGGGAATGAAATGGAATCCTGCCCCTGTATCCCTTCCCCCCTCTGGTCCATTTGTGACAAGTGATACCCCCTCCCTTTGAGATTCTCAAACCCATTCGAATCGAGAAGAAATGGGGGGGGGGGGGTACCGTCAACGACCTTGGACTCACTT